TCTATATTAGCCTTAAATATTGGAGTTTCTTCCTAAGTAGTTTCATTTAATTCCAAAGCTTTAAATGCCATCTTCTTGCAGAAACTGCAGCATCTGCTTAGCCCTAACCTGTCTTCCCCACCAGACTTGTGTCAATTGCTTCCTTAACTTTCCACATGGTTGTCTTAGAAGTATCTCATGTAAAAAAGGTAAAAAGAAAACAAAACCAAACATTAATAAAATGACAAAATAAAACCACTGACGATACCATTTACTGATGAAGATGGAGAGCAACTGAACTTCCATATTTTCATAGTTGGTGTAACTTCTTACAACCACTTTCAGAAACTCCTTGTCTTCTAAAGACAGACTTGAACATCCCTAAGACCCCAAAAGTCCACTTAGTAAATGCCCAATAAAAATTCCTACAAAAAAAATCTCATTCATATGAGGCTCAAAATAGCTGATTTGCAGCTCTCAATCTCTCCCTCCTAAGCTTCTTTAGCTAATAAAAAGCATCATTATTCAAAATATTTTCTAGCTTTCTTTCTGTCACCTACCACATCCAATTCAACAGTAAGTCTCATTAGCACCACTACCAAAGTATATCTCCATCTCCTCTCCATTTGCTCTGCCACCATCCTATTTTAAGCCTCTATCACCTTTTTCTTGGACTATTGCAATACTCTCTCACTTTCCCCATATTCACTTTTTCCCAACACACCTTAATTTTTCACACTTATCTGTCAAAATAAATGTATAAATTGTAAATTATATCACATCCCTCTTGCTTAACACTCTTCTATTATTTCCTATTTCTATTGGAATAAAATTTAAACTCCTTACCAAAAATAGTTTGTTATGCTCTCATTCCTGCATATTTCTCCAACTTTATTATTTATTCCATTTTTTCTTGCTCATTATTCTTCAAACACATTGGCCTTTTTTTCACTGCCTAAAACATGCCAAGTTCTTTCTTATTCCAAGAAATTTTCATTAGCTTTCCTAGAATATTGCCTCTATGGCTGCTTCTCATCCCTTGTGTATCAACGGAGCCTTCCCTAACAAGTCCAGTAAACAGCATTCTCACTATTGAATATACTAATATTCTCTCTAATGTTTCCATAACTCAAGTGCATTTGTTCATGTGTTACTTGTTTTCTCCCCTTGTGCACTGAAAACACTATAACGGTAGGTCTCAATTATGATACCTGGTACACCATAAATAGCTATTGAATTGTATGACTTAAATTATTAAAGTTCATAAAGAAGATATTATTGGAAGCATTTCATATGTTTTTAACTAAAGGGAAGTTATGTAAATGGTGAATCAAAACATGTAAATACCAATGTATTTTGACTATTGTGTAGGCTAGATGCCAACCTAATGCTATAGAAAGATGTGATAAATGAACTAATAAATAAAAACCAATCACCTATCCTTACATTGAATTATTCTCAATGATATTCTAAGTCAAAGGCAGAATGCCTTTCTCTGCAATAGAGATTTAATTATTCTAATTATGCCAAAGTGATTATAATTCTTACTAACCTGAGTCGGTAAGAAACATAGACATTTAAAAAGTCCATAGCTCAATGGGTTTGGTATTAGATGCTCTCTATTGCTTTCTTACTTATTGTGTACAACAGATTATCTGCCCCCAAAGATGGATACCTTTTCTTGAATTTCTAAGTAGACCTCACTCTAAGTGAACTTTCGTTTTATTGGAGAAGTCAAGATACCATCAATTGATTGTGTAGCTCTTATGAAACACCAATTCTCTAACTTCACTCCACTTTATAGAATGTAGAAGTAAAGTAGTCATCCAAGAACTGTCCATTGGTCTTGAAGGACAGTTATTTAACCAGATGACCTGTAAACATGTCCTGGATTCAGTTTACAGTTCCGAGTTGTGATTAATTTTGTAAATGAGGAGATATTGTTTAAAAAATAATCTCAATCTAAAAGTCTTTTGAGGATCTGCTGAGATTAAGGCAGTGTGCTTGGCACTCTGAAGGCTACAGTGATGGTCAGAAGTGATTCCTACTCTCAAGGAATTCACAGTCAAGGAATAGGTTTATTTAATAAATAACTACATAAACCACATCCTGCAAGGTGGAAGACAACCAGTTCCACCATAGAGGTGAGAAATAAGGTGATGCAGAAATTCAGAGGATAAGATGAATTTCCCTTGAAACTATTAGAAAAGTTTTCACAGAGGTTTGAAAATTAAGCAGAACCTGGATGTGTGAAGTAGGGGAACAGAAGGACAGCATCTTTTATCAAAACAAAAGTATGAAGTCAGAAAAGTGCAGGGGATGCATTGAGAAGAAGGAATAGGTCAACTTGGTAAGATCAAGAGGCATATGCAAGGGGAGAAGAGGAGAGATTATAAGGTCAGAAAAGTAGCTTGGCATTCTATTTCAGGAACCTAAAACATAAGGAAAGTTATAGTAGGTGAACTTCATATCATAAACATTGGGGAGTCATACAGCACTAGATATGAAGGCTGTGATGTGAGTAGAGTGGTGTAATAGGAAGCGGTGAGCAAGAATATTGGAGAAGACATGACAGGAAGGTATCTCAAAGGTTTATGATGGTGATATGAGTGGATATGTTGGAGTTAGTTTCAACAGGATCTGGCAACTCTTGAGATGAGGGCAGTAACAGGGATTCAAATGTGATTCAAAACATTTCAAACTGGTTGACTGAAAGGAAAGTTATATCATTAAAATAAATGGACAATCCAGAAGAGGAGCTTTTATTTTATTTTATTTTATTTATTTTTTTATTGATTAAGTTATTAAATATGTGTCCTTACCCCCACATTACCCCCCATGCCCCCCCACTCATGCCCTAAGAGGAGCTTTTAGAAAGGAAATTGTATATGCAGGTTGAGAAGTATCAATTTTGTATGCTAGTAGTACACAAAGTATGGAATCACAGGTGTGGTCCAGTCCTGTGATCACTGAGGTTATCAGAAACCATGTGAGGTGATGAATTTTTCAAAGGAGACATTATAGAGAGATTAAAAATGATTGATGATAGACAACCGGGATGCCTACATTAATTGGATCAGGAAAAAAGTAGAAGGATAAATAAACAACGGAGGAGTATTGAAAGGATAAGGAGAGACTAATGTCATGAAAACCAATACAGGAAACACTTTTCAAGAAGATAGTACCCATGAATATCAAAGTATGCCTTCTAACTATGTAGCAGCTAAAAAAGATAGCAATTAAGAAAAGATTTCTAGTTGTCTCAAATTGATAATCATGAAATATAGAAGCAATGTGAACCAATGGAAAAAGAGTGGACATTGAAATCAGAGAAACTGGCATCAAGGTCTGATTCTGTGTGGTTGAGCTATGTGCTTTGGGGTAAAATTGCTTTGTTTCTCTGGACCTTAATCTCTTGACTATAAAATGGGGATGATACCAGAATCAAAGGGCTCTGAGATTAAATTTAGTAAAACAACATAGGGATAAGAAGAGGCTGTTGGAAATAGGTCTGTTAATCTAGGTCTCTCTTGAGTTTGCCTCCCATTTGCTTTCCATGAACTTCCAGATGATCATGTGTTATGGAAAAACTTACCTGAGTTTGTGGGAGTTTAGGTTAAATTAATCATGACCACAAATTGCAAAATATTCAGCATTGGCCCCTAATCCCTCCTGTGCAAAGCTGAATATAGGAGGAAGCAGATGGAATAGGTTTACTCTGAAAGTCCTGCCACAGCAAATGTTCAAGACAGAATGGTGTCGACAGGTTCAGAGGGCTGAGCAGTTGGAATGACAACAACTGTGTCCTTGATGCTTGCTTTTGCAAACCCTGGTGCTTAGCAAAATGCTCTGTTCATAATAGAGACTCGGTAAGACTCAAAGCAGCCAAAATAGCTGTTTTGTTTGTCCTGTTTGGAGAGATCTGGCTCTAAGGTAATACACATATTAGAAAAGGATTTTTAAAAAGGATAAAGCATTGATTGGAAACAAGAAACATTTTAGGAAGATGGTGCAATCTAATGGGTATTGGTGGCAAGCAACTAGACAGATGTGTAAGCCAATGAATACTTGCCACAAATACAATGTTGTATATGTTGCCAAAAGATAAACATCCCCCAAATCAGGAGTCAATGATGGAAACAAAAGGGAAAAAAAAAGCTGAAGACATGAATCAAAGCCTCATGCTGTTTCTAAGTTGTAGACAACAATAGAGAGACATGGCCGAAACCGGTTTGGCTCAGTGGGTAGAGTGCCGGCCTGAGGACTGAAAGGCCCCAGGTTAGATTCCGGTCAAGGGCATGTGCCTTGGTTGTGGGCACATCCCCAGTAGGAGATGTGCAGGAGGCAGCTGATCGGTGTTTCTCATCGATGTTTCTAACTCTCTCTCTCCCTTCCTCTCTGTAAAAAATCAATAAAATATATTATTAAAAAATAAAATAAATTGACAAACTTTAAAAAAAAACACAATAGAGAGACATGGTTACTTACACTTAGATCTGTTCTTATTAATAAGTAGAGAGGCACACAGATAAAGAAATATAATACCAGATGCCATTAACTTCTTATGGAAATTGATCTTTTATTTTTATTAGTAAACAGTAGGATTGTAATCAATAAATGCTGCATCAACGGTCAAGTGACTAGCCTTGCCCGTTGGTCTGGGTATCATGGTGCGCACCGTGAAGAAAAGCACCGAGACCCCATACTGCTAAAAAACGCAAATGACGTATTTTGTATCAAGAAAAGATGGTAAAATCCCGTGTCAAATTGTTTCAAGGTTTCTTTCTCTCCCGAGTCCATCTCCTTTGCTGCATTCAAATGTACTATGTAGAGCTGGAACTTTGTTGTGAAGTTCTTTTCAGCAGTCACGCGCCCAATGACTATGCATAAAGGGAAAGTGTGTTTGTGTTTGCTGCATAGGAAACGAGAGCCTGTGGTTGATATATTTCTTCCTTAAACACTGCAATCAGCCGGATATTTACCATCTCCTCCTCTCTCCCCGCCCTGTGATTGCTTCTCAGGCCACGGCACGTGTTCCTGTGGCCGCTGCGTGTGCGAGAGAGGATGGTTCGGAAAGCTCTGCCAACATCCCAGGAAGTGCAACATGACGGAGGAACTGAGCAAGAGTCTGTGTGAATCAGCAGATGGCAGACTGTGCTCCGGAAAGGGTGAGTCTCTCTGCCGGAGCCTGGCCTGGATCCCTGCTGGGACACATGGCTTGTACAGCAGCCCGCGGCAAACACCCCTTTCAGACCGCACTTTGCCTGAATGAAAATCACTCTGTCCTCCGCTTGTAACCGGACCTTATTAAGTGTGAAAGTGAACCACGTGAAGTTTAGTACCCAAGGAAATGGAATGCATGAGATGGGTTGCATGTGAAAAGATCCGCAGCCACTTGTAGACAACCTCCTTGTGAATGGAATGCAATTGATAATTGTATAAAGAAGAAAGAACAGTAAGATATGCTGGGACCTGAATGGGCCCCAGAAGGCAGAGGTACAATCATTGAGTTCACCTGTGAAAGAGCAGAGCCCGGGTCGGGTCTGCATAAAACGCTCTGGAAGCTCATGGGATTCTCACTAAATGTTAGGGAGCGGCCCTGCCTGGAACTGAATGTCAATCTCCCGCTCTCCTCTTCCGCTCAGCTGCCTCCTTGCAGAACAAACCACCCCCCTTTTCAGACTTTTATAGCTGAAGCTACATCTACCCTCCAACACCTACCCTGGGTCAGGAGTGCAGGTAAATGTCTCTCTGAAGAAAACACAGTGAAGCAAAGTCAATCTGCTGAGGAGGCCTCAGAAGCAGAACTCGCCTCTGGGATGTGCCCCTCAACAGTGGCTGTCGCTACCGATGATCACTCAAGGCCAATGCTCTCCGGATGAAAGAGGCCTCTTGACGTAATTGCAAAAAATAAACTCAGATGGAGGCTGTGACCACATTTGGTGCCAGGAGGAAGGCTGAGAATGGATACAAACATGCTCATTTTAATAGCCGAGCATGTCCTTGGTTTCCAGGAATTCTGTGTTTGAGGCTGGTGTTTACAGAGTTCTGGCAAGGAGGCCATGCCTTCCACCTAATGCAATCACAGCAGCCAAGCAGCACTTAAATGCATTTAAAGCAATCACTTTGTTCCCCGTTTGTTCTCGTATGGAATTCATGCTAACTCCAAGTCCTAAGCAAACCTCAGCATTTCAGTACTCAGGGGCCCTCAGGTCCTGGATACACTTGCTTTAGGTTCAAGGAGTTCTGTTGGCCCTGGCAGGCTTGGCTCAGTTGGGTGGGCATCCTCTTGTGCTCTGAAAGGTTGCCAGTTTGATTCCCAATCGGGGCACATGCCCGGGTTTTGGGCTCCATCCCAGGTAGGAAGTCTTGCTCTCATATCGCTGTTTCTTTCTCTCTCTCCCTCTCCCTACCTCTCTCTCTAAAATTCACTTAAAAAACCTTTTTAAAAGAAAAAAGAAGCTCTGTTGGGAGGAGGAAGGAAAGGTTGAAAGGAAGAGACAGAGGGAAGGGATTGCCGAGGAAGAGATTAACAAAGAGAACAGTAAAGGTGGTAGGAATAGAATTAACTATCAAGGTGGAAGCTGGGGAGGAAAAAGAAATGTTATCAGGTCAGAAAGGGGGTGTCCTGTGTATAAAAAAGTACTCAGAATGATTAATTTGTTTGAATTAGAGTTATTTTTTTCCCTGAGTATAGCTTCAAACACAGAGCCCTAGCGTTTAGATACTTTTGTTGTTGTTGGTTTTCATGACGGCATTATCCTTGGAATAAGGCTATTAGCTTTTCTGAGAAACTCTGCTAAATGGAACTTTTGTATTAGAACATTGGTGTGCTTGTTTATTTTAAAAATCAGCCATTGTGTGTGTGTGTGTGTGTGTGTGTGTGTGTTTCCTAGATACTATAAAATCACTAACATTGTTCATAAGTGGGTCTTTGCTAGTCATGTTCAATTGCAGGTACAGGAGGAGAACACATACACACAGCCATGCTCACCTGTGTGGTGAATACCATTCTGTCATTTCCTAGCTGAATTTCATGCAAAGAAGAGGAGTAGTTTGTTTTCAAGAAATAAACATTCTCATTAAAGTCATTACATTCTGAGGAGAGATTTTCAGCATCATAAATATCAAAAAGGCCCCCAAAAGGGGGTGAACCCAAAGGCATTTCCTCAAAGCAAAACAAGAAAATCTCTCTAGTTAATGCCTTTTTCAAATTGCTTGCTTTAGGTGATGGAATAATATCTGCAGATCAATGAAGGGTTGAAAGCATGTATTTTAAACTGTTTGTTTATCCTTCAATGGGGAGAGATCTTCAAAAGGAGACTGGATATAAAAGCTGCCTGTGCTTTGAAGCTGGCGCTAGAGAGGATGGTGGGCATTCTGTCTGCAGCCGCTGACTGCAGGCTTCTTTCTTCCCACTTACTCTGGAGTCATCAGTGCTTGATTCTAGAAGAACTGGATTACAACGGGGCCCATGGAATGGTGCTCTCCCATAGGCACAGAGACCCGTGGGGATGCAGCTGTTATTTCTGTCTCCTGAGAGGGTACCATCCACCCCTTGCCTCAAGAACCACAGAAAGAGCCTTTGCTGGTTTGGCTCAGTGGATAGCGCATTGGCCCTTATACTGAAGGGTCCTAAGTATAATTCCAGTCAAGGGCATGTAGCTTGGTTGCAGGCTCAAAACCCAGCCCCGTAGGGCGGGGCACTTGCAGGAGGCAACCAGTTGATGTATCTCTTTCACATCAATGCCTTTTCCCTCTCTCTTCCCCTCCCTTCCACTCTCTTCAAAAATCAATCCTTGGGTGAGAATTAACAAAACAAAAAGAGAACCACAGAAAGAGTAACTCACAAAATGGACAACAGGTTTTGACATGGTAGCAGAGAAACCTATTCCAAGTTATTTGACTGGGGCTGGGTATTTTTTAATAGGTTTCATGGACTTGCCAGAATTCCATATACTTTCCCTCAACATGGTAAATGAAAACCCCTCACCCTGATCTTCACAAAGGACATTGGAGTGTTTTTCTTTCTCCGACTAGGGGACAGGGAGGAGCAGTGGGCCTGAGGTCACCACCTGGTAGCCTGGACCCAACTGTTTCCACCAGGCACTCCTCACGATCTGGGAATAAAGCCGTCACCTCAGGAGATGATGAAGAAATAGCGTTTTATTTCTTTACAAATGTATAGCCAAGACAATAAATCACTCCATAGAAAAATTTAAAACTAGATACATTGCTGTGACCTTCATAACAGATGGAGTTGTGAGTACAATAGTGAAAACTGCCTTCTGGGATGTTGGTGGCAGCATTTTGTCGGCTTGGTGAATGGAAAAGAAAGTCCGCTTTGAAATGGGGCAGCTGACAAGGGTGCTCGCCCTTACACTCAAGCTGTTCATGTGAATCACCAGAGAGATGAGCTTAGAGCCAGGTTTAACTCCCTTTGCAGAATCCAAGCTGTAATTCGTCGGCTGTTTGTTTGCTGGAGTATTTATGTGTATCCAAGAGTACAGAATCACCTTTCTAGGTCCGGGTCATCACCTCTAATATTCTCAAAGATGTTGTCTGATGATGGCTGTAATTGCATGTCACTAAATGTCTCCTTAGAACTCTTACAATGACACTGTTGAGTCCCACATCATCCAAATAAGCCCATGGTACACACCCACCCACTCACCTATCCCTCACCTATACCCCATCCTGGCAGTTTCTTCATCCCTGAAAAGAGACAGGGTAAAAGTTAGGCTTCAAAACCAGACTTGGACCTGTGTTTTAGTTGCCTCACCCAATATAACTGTCAGTGGGAATACACAACTCATTTTTTGAAACTATATGAAGGTTTTTCTTGTGAGAGGCATCACAGATAGGCAGATAGGTAGATAAAACAGTAGATGGAATCAGATGGAAATCTTTTTTTGCCCCCATGGCCCTGGGCAATTCCATTATCCTCCCTGTATGTCCATTTTCTCATCTTTGAAGGCAGAAGAATTTCATTTATTTCCCTGGATGCTCTGAAGACAAATGAGAAAATGTGGTTGAATCCCCAAGGAATGGAAGCCACTAAAAAAGTATAGAAGGGAGATGGAAGCATTCTTAACAGTCCTCAGACTGAGAAAGAAAATAAATGAATTAGTGGTGTTGTGGTCAGGAATTTACCACCCTAGAGTTCCTGCCAAGATGGACCAGCTTCTCCCTAAGGCTGGACAGAGTCTCATGGGCACGAGTGGGTGCCGGTCCAGCTGAGCTAAATAATCGGTCATCTCCTGGCAGCCATGTGGCTTATATCTTTCTGACAGAATCCTTTTCCTAGGACTTTCCCTTTCCAGAGTAGGGCAATTTGACCCCTGCTTATTGATGAAAACAGCCAGGTTGCTCTATAACAAAGGCGCTATAAAACATCCTAATAATGACCACGCTGTGTTAGTATGACATGCCATACTGCTCCTAGTTTCACAAGCAGTAGAAGAATTTCCTACCTCTGAGATGCACTGAGAATTCACAAACAGGAAAAAACAACCCAGCTGGGGAAAACGCTGATGAGAGAAGCTAGTTTTTCATAGCACATACAAAAATCAACCCCCATTTTTCATTCTAAGTATTTCAGTGACTAGCAGACTTCTGAAAATGCAATTTACTTGTCAAATGGTCTAGCAATGTATACCATATTCACTTTAGCTGAGCTGACCAGTTTTAGGGAAATACTATACAATGGCCTGAAGCTAAGCATTGGAAGTGAGAGCAGTGATCAGAATAGTTCTAGAGCCAGGGGACAAGTTTAAAGATGAAATGTGATTTTTTTTTTCATGAATTGTGGCAAAAAAAATTATATCCTAGGAGTAATACATAAATATCATGGACATATAAAGTCATTTACATCTCCATGTGTTGTAGAAACAAGTTTGAAATATAAGGGAGATAGTATTTTAGAAACAAAAACAGTGGAATTCTTCAAATAATCTTCCTCCACTCACAAAGCACTAAATATGATACCTTCGGAGGATATGTTAATGAAGTCATTAAAATGCCCCAAGTTTTCATAGTTTTCCAATATTGCTCTATCCATTTGCAAAATGCACAGATGACTGTTGAACATTTCTGTGCCTAGAGATTTGACAGAAAGTCTTTAAAATTAGAATAAATAAATTTCTAAATAAAGAAACACTGTACCTGGGTGAGATGACCAACTCTCACAGACTGGCCTGGGAGGCCCAGTTACAGACCCTAAGCAACCAGCAGGGTACTGATCACTCATTAGAACGGAAAGTTGTCTATTTTGCAACCTCGCCCCTCAGTAAAACAAGTAAATGGAACCATGCTGCGGTTAAGTAAGAAGTTAATAAATGTAAACACAGTTCTCAGCGTGTAACTAATTCTGACTGCTCCCTTTCCCTGAGAAGTGTGACAAGGAATATCAAAAGTTTAATTTGGCCATTGGGGATTCTTGCAGCTAAAATGCATATATGAGTTTCTATAATATAAAATAGCATGGGGTGCTTAATGCCTGGGACATCTTTATGTGCATCCTTTCATGAGAGCAGTAATGCACAAAAGTTTCTTTCTCTAACCCTTTTTTAATTGCAATGTTTCATAGAGACACTAATGATTGATTTCTTCCCCCTCCCAATATATTTTGAATTTATCAAGTTTGTTATTTTATAGAATATGTCAAAATAATTTTTCTACTTCACAGTTGTTTAAGGTGATAGGCATCTTTGGTAAAAGGAAATCACATCTAGAAAGAACAATCAATCCAAGGAAATAGAAGGAAGCAGAAGGCTATTCTTTGTGTTTATTTTTAACTTGAAAACTTTCTTTACTGCTATTGTAGAAGTAATTTTGCCACGAGAAGATGTTTAGGCTGAGGGAAATTTCTTCTCTGACACTATTTAATTCCTATATTTTCTTTTCTAAATGTGCCATTAGTAAAACTGTTTCTCAGCAAGCCAAAATATCTTCAATAACCAAAAAGGAAGTTTTGAATTAGGTAGGAAATAAAAAGAGAGGAAATGAGTGAAGTAATGGAAAAGGTGGTTGGATCAAGAGCCTCATAAAAGATGGACATTTGAGGCGAGGGATTAGAGCTCTCCTGGATGATGGCAGGGAATCCCAAGGGTGAAACTGGATAAGGTAAATATACATGAGTGAGTGTATGTGTATTTTTAGCACTTTAATGAACCACCCAGTAGGCAGGTGAGTCCTTACTTTAAGAAAATCATGTAAACAAAAATCCAAAATTATAAGCACAATAAATTTAGTAGTTGTTTTAATTATAAATTGCACCCTCATTTAATAGAACTTACTATTCAATTCCTTTAAAAGACAGACACTTTGAAAACATGATTCAATTCAGAAAAAGAAATTTTAAAAGCGCATATATTTTGAACACCTTTTTAGAAGGCCATCTATAAAAATCAGCCACATTCCGCCCTCATTGACATTTCAACCAGACTGAGCCATGGAACATTTGCTCAAGGCTAATTGCAACCGTCTAGATCCATAATGAAGCCTTTCAGGATAACCTTTATGAATTACAGTAAGTAACGCTCCCTTTTAAGCCACTGGCTATTCCATAAACTTTTACCTTTGGAAGGTTGGTTATTAGAAGCCGATTGCCAGTACATTGATAGTATTCTACTCTAGACGGAAACCTTTAGTTGTGTGGTAACGATCAATAATACCCTTTGTGATTTCAGGTTCTTGTCACTGTGGAAAGTGCATTTGTTCTGCTGAAGAATGGTACATTTCAGGGGAATTCTGCGACTGTGATGATAGGGACTGCGACAAACATGATGGTCTCATTTGCACAGGTGCAGTACTGACCCACTCTAATTGATCTGTGCCACATTTTGCAATAAAGGTGAATGACCCTCAGCACATTTTGCTGTGGGTCACTGGGCAGGAGAGCTTTCATGTACTGAAGGGCCAAATAGTAATATAAAGTACGTAAAGGGAGGTGGGCATTTCAGAATAAGCACTAACATCATTCCCAGGCATAAAAGAATGCACCCAAATTATATGATTTGGAGGAAAATTCCATATAAAGTAACTTCCCCCAATTTACACATATGCAGTTTTATATATTGCAAAAAGAACATAATTCTCTTGACAACTATTGCACTTTTAACATGGTGTAGGGACTAGAATATATTTTAAACAGGACCCAGGCACCAAAGCTGTTTGATGCGTTAGTTTGTTTTTAGGGAATGGAATATGTGTGTGTTGGGGGGATGGGAATAGGAAAACAATTTAGGAATATAATAGATACTGCTATCCTGAGTTTCTGAGTCCTAATAATTGGTAATTAAAATATTTTCTTAAACAATGTATAGGGGAGATAGAGGCATATATTTATTCTCCTTGTTTTTAACTAAAGGTAAAAGATGAGCATGTGTGTGTCATTAAGTTAGACATTCACGTTCTGCCCACTCCTACTACACAAGGCTCCTCTTCTAGCTAATTATTCAGCCTACCTCATCCTATGTCAAGGAGCTGTATGTTCGTTAGCATTGATTGTTACACATAACCTGCTCTCTACAGAAAAAAATTATTCATGGAAGCCCAGCTGGAGTGATACTGATGGTCATTATTAGATTGATACTAACTGGATGGTAGCACCAAGGAGGTGCCATTAATTGTTTAAAAGGTCAGATTTCCTATAGCTGCGTAATAAGATAATAATAAGATGGCTGCACAATACGAAAGTTTTCAGAGGATGAATGAAATTGCTTTGATTAGGAACAGTTATGTTTTATAATAACATATATTAGCTTGGTATATTTCAATCATAATAATGAACCTCCTGTGTGTTTTACTGCAGGGAATGGAATATGCAGCTGTGGAAACTGTGAGTGCTGGGACGGATGGAACGGAAACGCATGTGAAATCTGGCTTGGCACAGAATACCCTTAACAATGAGAGAGGACGGGGTTCTTCTTTGCCTAGGCCATTAGAAATATAAATGCAGAGGAAGCCGTGTATAATCACCACGAGGACAGGTCCAACAGACTGTTGTATGTTTTTCTATTTCTGAAAGCCCGGATGAAATCTGGATACCCATTAAAAATGAGTTAAGCAAACTCAGATGTAAATAACACCAGGAAAGAAAATTTCTCCTACAATTTACATCAGTGGTTCTCAACAAGGGTGACTTTGCCACCCAGAAAACATCTGGCAATGTCTACAGACAATTCTGATGGTCACACTGGGTGGGGTTGGAGGGTGCTCTTCGGGCGTCTAGTGGGTAGAGATCAGGGATACGGCTAAACACCCAACAGTGCACAGGACAGTCCCAACGATGAAGAATTTTCTGACTTCAGATGTCATTAGTTGCAGAGTTGAGGAAAGCTGAATTACATGGTTGTTAAAAATGCACATCCCTACACAAGAAAGGCCATTTTAGACTCAAAGAAAAAGAGCCCTACATAAATCCATTGATCATATGTTGCCAGAATTCCCCATCACTCAGTGTTTCCATATGGAAATGAAGGCAAACACACTTGAAGTACAATGTTGGATTGGGGTGGGGGTGGGGGGGCAGAGGCCAGATCACCAATGCTTTTAGTCATTAAGTCATTTGTTTAGTCTCACTTTAAACTCACAAAAGAAGTTCTCTTAAGATGAAGGAAGAAATTATGGAAAATGTACAATTTAGCATTTTTAATAAATAGTGACATAAGTTGTTTACAATCTGTGTCAATATGTATTTTACCAACTGAGGACTGACTAACAAAAGAATGAATTGCTGTTCAAGAGCATCCATTTTTCTGTGACTAGAGCATGTTTTAAACTGGACATGGGTTACATGTACAAGGAATCTGATTTTTCCCTAGAAGTTACTCCATGGTAACTTGCCTTTTCAAAAGACAATATCTAGTTAGGTCTATGATGGGCTGATATATGCATTCATTTCTCTTAAAAGGCTCTATTATTTCTAAGGATACATTTCTCACTGGAAAAGTAGGGCCATACATGGAAGTCAAGAAGAGACGTTGCGATAAAATGGTACCAGTCCCACAAGCTCAGAAGATAAAAAGAAAAATCTATAAATGGCTTAAATAGAAGTTACAAATATTCACTCAGTGATAGGAATAAAATGTTTATTTTCATAATGGTGAAATTTCGCTCTGTATGAAATTCACATCAAATTATGAAAATGTACAATAACTTGGACTTCCCTTACATATTTGCAATCAAGTCTACTTATACCCATTAGTTTAGGCAACCTTTAATTATTTAGAGCTAAAAAAGACCCACTTTTTATTTAATGTGGATTATATTTTGTAAAATCCTGCAATAATGTAATAAAATCATTTTATTATTGTTTAAGATGAAAAATTTTACTTGGACATTTTACTTAATGATGTAAATATTCTAGACTCATGGTTTGGACTTTATAAATCAAACCACCAAAAGTGAGGAAAATGTGTACCTGCAGGGTTACTTAAAATTTACATTAAAAATTATTTAAGAGAAATTTAATTGATGCTGATTTTTAGAATACTGACAGTGTTCTCTGACTTTAACAGATTTATAAAATTGTTATCTCTATCCTGAGATTAAGGAGTGCAACCACACCAGTTGTATCTCAATTGTTCAGTGCATCAATTGAAATATCAGTTTTGTAAATGAGGGAAATGTAAGCAGTTAAGAAATTATAGATATATAGATAGATATCTATACATCTATAGATATGCATATATATATAATATCCTTTCCTCTTCTCTAAACATTTTAAGCCTCAAACAAACCTATTTTAACTGTTCAGTAGCAATTTCAATGATGACTGATTTGATGATGGACCCATGGGCATTCACTACGTTATCACGGTACAGTGACATCCATAGTCCTTACTGCAGAGCTCTGCTTTTGGTGGAAAGGACCAGATAGTAAACATTGTAGACTTTGTGGGCCACATACATCTCTTTCGCATATACTCTGTTGTTTGTGTTTAAAACAGTATAAAGAAAAAAAAACTCATTCTGAGCTCCTGCGCCATACAAAAGCCAATTGCAAGCTGGGTTTGGCTCACAGCTGAGGAATAAATGATCAACCTGTGCTTTGATGGAACTGCCGTTAATTTCCTGTTTCCTCACATAACTCCAGGTGTGTCTTATTTTTCTTGTAATTATCTATATTTGTTATCCCTTTTCATTAACAACTACAGCAAAAGTGTTTCTCTTTTAAAAATTTAATATAAGAAAAGAGTTCTCAGCAGTTATGTTTTTAAAGAAAAAGTTTAGATATGGAGAAATGTTAATTATAAAGTTCAGAATGGGATTTGTCCAAAATTTTTGATAATGAAAATATATTGCAGTCAGCTATATTCTGGGTTCCTTTAGTTACAAATTATTGAACGAAAATTTTCATATTTCTCCTGTGTGTGTGTGTGTGTATGTGTGATGTTGACTCCAGCTTGCAAACATCAATAGATCTATTAAGAATTTAATTTATATGTTTAAATGGGAAAAAGTTAAACATAGTTACATATAAAGACCTACATTCTACCCTTCTTAAATGTGATTTTGTACTTTGACTTTTGATTCCATTACTAAGATAGAAACTCCCTCTTTAAAAAATGCCAAGGCAAGAGCAAATTTGTAATAGGAGGAGGGAAAATGTGCCAATCTCATTGGCCGGTTCAAGTTTGTCCCAAGTTACAGTGAGATTAATGTGAATTGAGAATGATATAATAAGTGATGTTGGCCACAACCTTGCTTGCTTTGCAAACCATCACTGAGGAATCCTCCTAAGAGGGACTTCTCCATAGAATTCGACTAAGGTCCTAAGACCTAAGAAGAGAATCATTATACCCCATTTCTCCCAGGACTCCTTGAGCTAATTTAGATTCCTTCAACACATTGAAAGAAATGACCACACCATCCCAGATGCAAATGCAGTCTCTGCCAGCAGACATCAGGATTAGACTGAATAGTATAGCAAAACCAGGAAAAAACCATAATTCAGCCTTTGTTTTCAGACTCTATCAAAACTTTGAAACCCAGTTCAGTATTCAAGCATCAACAGGTTCTATGTACCACCTTGTAAGCTAAGGAACTTAAGCGATGAAATGTATTTTCTCCAAAGTAACCCAATTCACATCTGGATTTTGATATGCCTACATTTAGCTGAATTGCTTTCTCCAGATATAGTCTAGTTCTGAAATGAAATTAAAAATAAATTTCAAATATTTTCACTTCTAAATTAGAGTTTGAATCAACCTGATCTCCCCTTGAAATGTTAATTCTCCAATTTAATATTTAGGAGAAAACTGTAAATGAAGTGATACATATCTAATGTTCAATACATATTTAACATGTTTTGTTTTGTTTTTTAAAGAGAACCTAATCTGATATTGGTCATCCTGAAAACATCTGACTGTTTTAGTGCTTTAGGTACTAATTAAGCAACTAGCCAGATGTGATAAACTGTGCTTACTCTTCAAGAGGCAATTAGGCCAGGCCAGTGTGGCTCAGAGGTTGGGTGTTGACCTGTGAACCGGGAGGTTGTGGTTTGATTCCTGGTCGGGGCATGTGCCTCGGTTGTGGGTTCAATCCCCAGTGTGGGGCGTGTAGGGGAGGCACCAGATCGGTGATTCTCTCTCATCATTAATGTTGTCTCTCCCTCTCTCCCTTCCTGTCTGAAATCAATAAAATAAAAAAATTAGAAAAAAGAGGCAATTAGAAGGACTGTGGCAGGAATTTTATGGGCCCATTGTAGGTCTCCTGAAGTCACCCCCAACCCCAAAACACTCAGTGCAACCTAACATTTAAAGCAAGAATTTCTAAATTCTCTAGGATTTATAATGAAATAATGCTTAGTTTCAACTTACTCTCTACAGAGGGTGGACCATTTGCATCTATTCTATAATTTTCCCAAGTAAAGTTTTAGCAAAACATTTTAGAAAGCAAACATAAGAAAATAAAAATGGTATCACTTGAAATACCAAAACCATTAAACATTAAGCATTGCTGAGGGATGGGTGAGGCAATCAGCTAACATAACAAATCAGTAGAAATAACCCTCCCACACCAGATATGCATGCAAATGCATGAGATATTAGACTTGATACAATCAACATACATACATGTAGGTACAAAACACACGGTCTCTAAATACAAATGAATTCCATCAGATTTACTACACAGAACATCAATGGTGACAGATTGCACTTACTTAATAACATCAAACTTGATTTTGAGGGGAAAGAAGAGGGTCTTATCCCAGAAAAAAATAGCAAGAGAGGTATCATCAAAGAGCTAAAATTTTCTTTGGCACAATAAAGGGGGAAATTGAGTTTACCAACTTATTTACATGACATGTCTATATTTGTGGGTGATGCAATGCCATTTCATTACATAAAGTTGTTTGATGTTTTATAATATGCCTTCCTATAAATATTTTATTCAGTGTGTTGTATTGGTGAATAGAACAAATGATATTAAACACAGAAACTGTACAAAGCAGACACACTCTCTGTATGTAAATTGAGAAATACATACTAACAGTTCTTGATATCCAGGCCCTATTACATGCAGTCCATCCGTGCTGCCCTTGTCCTGTGCAACAGATGAGACCAGACACAAAGGAAGTGATCAGACTAATTTACAAATAACAAAGACCCCCTTGCAATATGTCTAAACATATTTTGGAAGAAAGTATTTTGACATCCATTCATAGGGATAAAGGCCCATATAGACAACTCATATAAAAAAAAAAAACAGGTGTGTGCATAAATCTCAGTTATTTAGAAAATAAATATTGTCTTAATTTTAACCATTACACAGGCTTGCAGGGGAAACGAAACCATCAAATGAGGTCTGATTACCAAAAGCAAATTGGTGGGGTTGCTTGATGTGTGTGTTGCGGTTTGGTGGGGTAGGGTAAGCCCATCTAATTGGAATTTCAAGTTAAATTATACATAGTTTGCCACATGTTATGAATTATATGTATTCCTTAAATAATTAGTTAATGAAATTCATCTAATATCTTTTAACTTATCCTGTTAAAAAAAATAGGCATTAAAATGGTGTAACAAGAAATCAAGAATGGTCTAAGGAACCATTTTTTTTTTGTATTTGTACTTTAGCATAATCAACAATAAATCTACTCAAACATTATGCTAACTTTTTATTTTATTAAAATGGAATCCGATATGAAAATGAAATAAGCATAAACAGTTAAATTTATACTAAATCTTTAATAAGCTAAGCAGGACAATATTTTAAAATGCTGGGCAAGGGCTGTCATGGAGACTTAGAAAAGCAGTGACAAAATAATTTCCCAGTAAATACAGTGCAAATGTGGGTAAATGGCGACTGGGTCATCCTCCCGCGTGGAAATAATCACAAGAGGCCAGGATAATGATCCCACATATAGTTTTCTATAAATGAGGTTCAGTTTGGTCTCAATGAACTCTTCCAAGAACAAAACATTGAATTTTATTAACTATACACAGAGTTAACAAATATATTTCCAAACAGTTTAGTATTAAACATTTTGAAACCCTTTATATCCAATATTGAACATTTTGCGTAGTTTCTTCACTGTGTAGTCAATATTCGCGGCCTTTCTTGGTAGTTGTCTTCCCTAAGCTCAGAGTTACTTAAAAGGAAATTAAGAAAGCAAATAAAACAAAAGCAAATTGGTTGAACGGACCGAAAACCTGATGTTTGAACGGGTTGGTTTGCCTTTAGTGTGATCTAGAACAATTCAACAGGCTGCATTCTGAGATCGTGGCAAGGCACCTCCCTCCCGGCCCTCGGGCAGCTTGGGCCCCAAGAAGCTGAGTTGGAGGTATGGACTGGTGAAATACACAGTACCTGACTCAGCATGCTGAGCTAAAAAAAAAAAAAAATATTATTTCCTAATGTGTCCAGTTTAAAAACTTGTCATTAAACACCAAAAATATTAAAGTCTAAGTTATAACTAAGGTTTGCTTTGCTGCTTCAGAAAAGAACACAACAGCCGCCTTGCCCATGCTCTGCTGAGTATGAGTGGAACGCAGCCAAAACCCGGGATGGCAATAAGTCCGGTTCATTAAAAATAGGAAGGATTATATCTGAAATGGATTTAGGTAGCGCACTCTTGTAGATTGTAATTGTTGTGTGGGGTTTTTTTTTTCTCTTTTTCCAAATAATGAGGATTAGTAGATGAAAAAAAAATGAACCTTAATCAGGCCTACAAGGCCTACAGAGTTCTTTGGACCCACTTTCTCAAAAACCAGTGGGTCTTGCTCGCTGGGCAAGGCAAATGTTACCATTACCAGTAAGCTTGTGATATGTATAAAACACACACACACACACACACACAAAGAAACTAGAGGGGGGTGTCAAACACATATCGGAGAGAACTTCCCACGGACTGTGTTTGACCCACTTCTCACCCCGGCAACGCCGACCTCAGGAGCACAGTACCTGCCACTGAACGGAGCGTATATGTGTGTTTAATTGATAGTGTGAGCCAGAGACAACACTCTTAATCTTTATGATGCGTTTTGTAATAATAGGTTTAGAAGGCTTCCTGATTCCCTGATCGCTCTCCGAACTAAGCCAACTGCAACATGTAAGATTTGGAGGAGCACAGTCCCTGCAAAAGGTCACGGACAGTGGAGCGAGCAGCCCTGTAAAAACGGGAAGAAGAGAAATCCATAATAGCACAGGTTTACAGCTTCTACCTAGAAATTACTCAATAGTATTTGTGTGCTACAAAAGTGAACTTAAACACATGGATGTTGCTGAAACAGGACTCAAAAAGGATTATGGGTAGCTGTCAGCAGGCAAGGTATCGAGTGTACTTGTGAAGTATGTCATTCACATGAAGTGTCACAGTCACAGAAAAGATATTAAAAAGGCATTCCATATCTGGTAGGGCATTCCATGGTCTGAGTTTAGCTGGTTGTCCAGGTGTCTTCTTGTTGTGGGAGGCGCAACAGGTTGAGATTGATCCTCTTGCAACCAAGAAGTTCGAGACAGCAGAGAGCAAGCATCCGCTTACTTCCAGCTGCTCCTCGGCCACGGGAGCAGAAATGTCTGGCAAGGATACATCGCTCAGCTGTGCTCGGGACCAGTAAGTCACAACACCTGTGAGGATCTGGCTATGTCGTCTTACTTTTGTTGACTGGTTTGCCTCCATTCATTATTGCAGACGCACTTGTGCTTTTACTTGGCGTCACCCCAGCCTTCGGGACCGTTTCTCCAACGTCATGCAAAGACGGTTCTCGGTACATGGCAACTAGTGACAGGAAGGAGGGCATGAAGAAAAGAGGAAAAGGAAATGTTACCAAGTTCAGTTCAAGAATCAGTACACGCACACACCGCAGCAGTTTGCCCTGTGCTGTTTCCCTGCAGCAAAGCAATGCCAGTGGGAGGGATACCTGTTTTAAAGCAGTCATTTCCCGCCCTCAAATAGAAGATATTACTACCTTCACAGTCTCTGGCTTATATAACTAAAACATGTACATAGGTGTGCATGGATGTTTGTCCAGGAAAGAAGGTTTAAATGGGAGACATAGCCTCTTTGAGGGCCTAAGATATGAAACACACACACACACACACACACACACACACACACACAACACACACACACACACACACACACACACACGATATATAATAGGAGAATGGCAAGTTTAAATCTAATTCTCTTTGCATAGCAAGGAAAACTCAAATTTCCCTCACACTGCACACTGTCAACACTTGAACCACTCATTCCTATTCATCTTGGCAAGTATTTACACCCTAGATCATTAAATTACTTTTCTCTCAAGTGGTTCAAAAGCAACAGAGTCACACTAGTGTCAACATCCAAGCTATACAAAGCAATAACAAAGAACTCGCTTTCCCTAATCAAGGCCTTCAAAGGTCATTGTTTATATTTTCTCTCTCGGGATAATGAAAAGAGACCCTTAAATAACTGAAGGCAACTGTGTGGCATTTTCTATTTTTATGCCTCATTTTCTGATATATTATTAAACATCTAATAAGTGATGTCATACAAGGCAGAAGCACAAAATGGTAAGAGAGCAAGTGGGACTGACATCTGGTAAGCTCTGAGAAATTGCCCGAATAGTGTCTGGCCACACAGTTAATCGCAAGAGTTCATGTGGCTTTTTGGAAAATGATTATCAGGAATCCTGGGGGAAAACATTCAAGAGCGACTGATTCTTGGGGAAAATAGGTGAGTTAAAATCATCTGCCATCAGA